CCCCCCCCCCCCACCCCCCCGATTCTATCTTCACCTTTCAGTTTTACCTAAATTGGGCTTTCTGTGCTTATTTGGAGCTCCACATTTAGGGAGTGCCTAAAGTTATATATTTATAGTACTACTTGCATTATCAAAGTTGTGCACATAACGTTTACCTCTTAAGGAACTGTTACTTCCATGCTTCTATTTCACTTTTAGTCTTTTTCCCTAACTTTTTTGTAACACTTTTGTGTTTAACTAACCTTCTTAGCTTATAGATTATGCGATTTTTTCCAAGATTTTTTTCCATTTTTTCGTGAAATATTTCTGTCAAACACACGATTTGTGAATAGTCGCCATGTTGATGATTTTAACAAAAAAATTGTCAATAAATTCTATTGCTGTATCATCCAACATGGCCGCTGTGTCTTTTATTATTTCACTCCCCTGGGAATGATTGAAAACCAGCAATAGGCCATTTCCATGATGGCATCATTTTACTTCCACTACCAAAATGCTTCGTGCATTTTCTTTCTTTTTCAATTTTTTGTTTCCGCATGAGAAAAGTAAGACAGTTGTGCTAATTTACTGAACAAAAGAAAGTGTGCAAGGGATTCTGGTAGTGTGGTAGTAAATGTTATTTAAAGCTAAAGCTATATAATGCAAGTGATCCACAGAAAAAGTACGACGAATGTGATTCTGACCGACGTTTATTTTTCATAATTTGGGGAACTGTAAATTTCATCGCATAACAACATTTTTGTAAATCTTTATGAATTTTCTTAAAACATAAAAGCAATTGATTCTTCCGCTGAAAAAGAGCACTTGGCATGTTTGGAAAAACACTACTCGAAAAAAGGTTAAAAATAATGATCACTCGCCAAGGGTTCGCCTATACAAAAAGTGTTAATGAGGAAATGATCAAAAAATAAAAAATGAAATGGAAGGAAATGGAAGGAAATGGAAGGAAATGGAAGGAAATGGAAGGAAATGAAATGAAATAAAAAGAATTTACAGCGTATTTTTTAAATTGTTGAAATCAATGTGCTTACCATAGCGCCGTCGATTTTCATGATCATTGTCCATCCCCCAGCATCACAGCCAATTATCTCAGTCATGTGACAAAACACGTCAGTCTGTTGGCCTTGGATGATGAAAGTATAAGCCATGTTTTTTCGGAGGCTGTTGAAGGATTTGAAATTCAAAATCGGTCAACTCGCACATTTAACTATCTGGTATATCGTTATCCTTACCTTGTTTTCTCGTAAATATCTTTACATGAAGTCACATATTCTGAAAAAAAAAAAAAAAAAAAAAAAAATTTAAATTAAATTTTGACGTGATGCGACACTGGTGGAACGTATCAATTGTGTAGTGATGGTGGTGTAACGACAAGGATAATGGTAAGAATGATGGAGTTGATAGTTGGTTGATATTATTGATAATGATAATGATTATAATGCATAGGAGTGACACTAATGATGCTAATTAGTAGAAAGTAAAAATATATTAATGTTACACATTAAAACCCAGCGCTTAAGAACCTAGATTTGAAGAACCTGTAAGATTGAGGAAAATAATGATGATGTTGAAGATGGTAAAGATGACGACGTAACGACAGCATGTTCGTTTCTGATGATGACGTGACATATTGATTACACTAGCTAGATTTCAATCCCGACAATAAAACAAACTTGCGCTATTCAAGACGATAGTTGGTGATATTTTACCTGTCCAATGGTCGCAGTTAGGTCCTGTATTATACTCGCTGCAGTTGAGGCACTTATAAGCATTTGGACCACAAAMGTCTGTCGAACACACTCCTCCATTCTTACAAGGTGAGCTCACACAAGGATCAACTACCACTTCCTAAATCAATAAAAGCAACAAAACAAATAGATATATTATTGCATAATTAATAATTAGTAACTATTTAACAATGAGACTACGAGGTCGAGTTTTCTATGAGTCAATAGATAGTCGATGAGGCGCGTAGACGAGTAGTCTAATTGTTTTAGCATCAACCTACTAGCTAATATTATGATATTGAAAACAAAAACTGACACTGATAACTTTACTGTACAAAGCGACGGTCAATCGGCAGCAATAAGTTGTCTTTTGGATTTTTTGTGTTCTTTCAGGGAATCCTTTTAAAATGCCAWCAATATCTCAAAAGTCAGTTAATTGTCCGTCGCAAAGTTTGCACATGAAAATCTCAGTGAAGTCTGACGGCCGATTTTTCGTGTTAAAATTGCCATAATTCTTCAGTTTTTAACTTATCTGTACCACAGGGGGCCCAATTTAGATTAAAGTGAATGGTGAAAATAAAATCAAAAAAATTAAATAATTAATGTTTTTTTACAATTCGAGATCAAGATAATGTCCTCCGTAATGCGAAACAGTAAAAAAATCAAAAAATGCACAAGAGCATTTTTTTTCTCGCGTGCTTTTGTTTTCCTATATAATTTCCCTATGGTATCTGATGTCGATCTTATATATATATATACTCTGACAAGGGAGGAAACTACAGTCGCCATATTTGATCAAACAACTCACTTTAAACCACGATTTCATCGTCTTTTAAACCTCGAACTCCACAAAAACTTGATAAAAACGATCCCTACGATGGGAGATTCATTTATTTAAAACTCTTTTGGCTCTTCCTACAGGATTTCTATGATTGAAATTTTCGTGCAGAAAATTTTTCGCTTGCAGAAAATTTTCTGCCATGTTATGTCAAAGCTACTACTTGCGTAAAACTCGGGCGAGATCGAATTTCGACCTCACTACTCTCCCGCACAGGATTTTTGTAACGTGTGCACGACCCACCACCAGCCACCTCATAGGGCTAGTTTTGTTCTTGAAAAACCCTTTCACAAAGTCCTCTATGGTCGACATTTTTCTGCTTTTTTGGTTGGTTTTACTTTAAAAAATTAAAGATAACTACAGATAATTCAACACGATATCAAGTTACTTAAGTGAAAATCACAATGGATTTCTTTCATTTAACTTAGAATTTTTGGAGATTTCTGCACTTTTTCAGGACAAAACTGTATCATCTTGAAAGCTGGTAAGCAAAAATCGATGCTTCTTTTACTTAACGATCTTTTGGTAAGCTAAGTAAGCTATTATGCTTACTTTATTAGCAGCAAAACAGAAAATAAGCTGGACATAAGATCGACGTCGTTCCTGAGCTTGATTACTCAACTATTGAATCATTTATTTCTTGTTTTGCCAGGCCCTATAAACAACGAAACCAATCTGATGTTAGCTAAACTGATAATCCCTTCATTGAAATATTTTCATTTACATTCAGGACTTCTAAAACGAAAAACATAAAAATTTAGCATCGATTTTTGCTTACCAGCATCTCGACATCAGATACCATAGGGAAATTATATAGGAAAACAAAGGCGCGCGCGAAAAAAATGTCCTAGTGCATCATTTTTCATTGATTTTTTTACTCTTTCGCATTACGGAGGACATTATCTTGATCTCGAATTAAAAATAAATAAATAATAATAATTATTATTTAATTTTTCCGATTTTATTTTCACCATTCACTTTAATCTAAATTGGCTCCCTGTGTCTGTACCGTTCAAAACCTCAATTCCTTTCCTTGATACAGTCTTGTCTTTTCTACAATCGATTTTTAAAGATTTTTTAGAGAACAAGCAGAGATATCGACGAAACTTGAGTATGCACTTGTTTATTTTTCGCTACTCGCTATATATCACAGGATAGATAGTGAGTACGTTAGCCAATGAGATTGCAGGATTTGTAATAGTATGCTAGTAGGTTTATGCTAATAACTATTATCATATGACCCGTATCTGCCTGGGCGTGCGCTCTTGAACGAGGAGGGGCGTACGAATCCGTACGGCCCTGCTAGATACCTGTGACTTTCTTTTATTTTATTATTTTTCTTTTCGTGAGGGTCATATATATATGATAAAATGGTTATTGACTCAGTTAGGTCGGGCCGTACGGGAAAATATTTAGCTCTCGGACACTTGTACGGCATCACCTCCAGCCAAATATTTTTCCCGTACGGTCCGACCTAACTCAGTCAATAATTACATATTATGATAGCCATAAAAGAAGATAAATGACATCAGACAAAATTCATACAAAGACGACTCTTTATACATACTTTGGGTGCGTAATAGTCAAACCCAGGTCTCAACTGCGTACATTTAGGTTTGGTTGCTAAGGTATCGTTATTCAGTTCGCAAATGTGACTGGGACTGCCTTGAGTTTGATAATTCATAGAGTGACAGGATGGATGGTTAAGGCATTCGAAAACACATTCCATGTAATCCTTCACTTTCATACTCTTGATCACGTGATTAACCATAGATGAACCTTGACAGTAAAGACGACAAATAATGTTAGAACATTCAGAATAAAACTTTCAACTCAGGCGTGCCGTGCCGTGACGGGACCGAGTCTGAGCGTTTTGATTCGATGTTCAGTATTCTAGCATAATACTATTGATTCTAAAGCTGTTACTTTGACATTTTTGTTTTTATTTAACAAATAGATCAGGCTTATGTTCTGTTTTCTGATAAAACACGACTGGAGCTGTGGGGCACGAAAAAGTTATAGAAATCACGAGCCTTAGGCGTGCTGTCAATTATATGTTTAATTTTGTATAGAAAAAAATGGTTTTGACGTCGAGTAATTTTACCCCTACTGCTTTAACCCTTGGTGGCTCTAAAATAACTTATCCCAAAATTATTGCAAATGTTTTTAATAATTTTTAATAATAAATATTTTGTAAGCATTGGCTCAGATCTAGCTAATAACATTCCAACTGTAAACACTCCTTTTGAATATTTCATGAATAATCCTCTTCAAAATAGTTTTTTTTTGTAATTCCAACTACTCCCATTATAAATAGCCTCAAGACTTCCAAATCGGATGAACCATTTAGTATCCCAACAAAACTATTAAAATCCTTAGGTCCAGTCCTGTCTGAAGCCTTATCTCTCATTTTTAATTGTTCCTTTCTATCTGGTGTTGTCTCAGGAAACCTGAAAATCGTTCGTGTTATACTAGTTTAAAAAAGGATCTAAAACTACTATTTCTAACTATCGCCCAATATCTTTACTTTCTGTTTTCAACAAAGTGGTTTAAAAAACTGATGTTTAGTAGATTAGTCAATTTCCTTGAGCAACAAAAAATACTTTTTGATGGGCAATTTGGGTTTCGATCTGATAATTCAACAACACAAGCCATTTTATTAATTACAGATAAAATTCAAAAGTCAATTGATAATAAACTCTTTTCTTGCGGTATTTTTCTTGACTTCAGCAAAGCTCTTCACACAGTCAATTACGAAAACGGCGGGCACGCGCGCTTCGAAAAACAGCACCCTAAAGTGTAACATAAATTTCCTTGGACGGGCTCCATAATTTGGTGGACTGGTGACGAGTATACGGTTTTTTCCGAAGGGTCTGTTTGACGCCTCCTAGATCGTTCGTGTCTTACCGAAGGAGMAWTCGRATGRCGGAACATTATCGATCTAARCAAAACCTTTACAATGATACCAAACATGAAAGTGTTTGTTTAACGGGCGGAAAGTTATTATTTAATGAATTCGCTCGTTTTTATGCTTTTATAGAAATGCTTCTTTAGTCGTTATTTTGAGGCTTGGTAAATTTTCTCTATTTCTAATTTTTATTTCTATTTACTGCATTAAATTGGTTCTTTATTATCAAAATCGCAACTCTATCGTTTTGGTTTTCGCGATTTGAGCTTTGATTTCTCGCATGATGGCTTCAAATATGAGTAAAAACCGAGGAAAAAGCTGAAAAATGATAATGATACCGAGTTGATATACACAAAAAGCGACAGAAGAAACATAGAGAGAAACAAGTGATCAGCCAGAAAAAGATTGAAGAGCTAAAGGAATCGGACGATCTGGATAGCACAATCAAGGAGAAAGAAAGGTTGTTGAGTGCCAAACAGACACATTTAATTAAAGACAATAAATATTAAGGTATAAGGTTGATAAAAGTTCTTACAAAAATTGTGCTATTGATGTGTCAATTAAAACTTTTTGATATTTAATATCAAAAGAGGTTTTGAAAAGGATTGTGTTAGTATAGGTACCTTATTAAAGGTCATTTGATAAGGGTCTGTTTCACTGGTTAGCAACACCATTCTGTTCTGTATATAGTAGACATGTGCTTCATGGAAGTAGTCTTTATAAATTATTATCAAGACAGCCATTTATTTATTATAGAACTTTCTTATTCTATATTCGAGAGCTGTGCTTCATGTAAATACTTGTTTTATAAATTATTATCAAGACTGCCATTTATTTATTATAGAACTTTACTATTCTATTTTCTAGAGCTGTGCTTCAAGTAAATACCATTTTAAAAATGGTTATCAAGACAGACAATCATTTATTATAAAACTTTCTTATACTGGAGAATGTACAAAACAATCRGAGCAATGCCAGCTTATGACACAATGTTATCTCTATCCATATGCAATCATCCAATACATCTCTTTCAAAATTATCAATATCTTGGATGGAAGGCTTACATGAAAATATAAGTGATATATGCTACAAATTCTGTTAAGAAAGTTTATTTTTTTGCTTTATTTTAATGTTAGCTTCACATCTAAGATCATTTTGGGATGCAATCTGAGCTCACAACATGTGAGTAGAGTATTTCATTAGTTTTTCTCTGTGCCTCAAGCATTTCGACGGGGTTTTTAATGTTTCTCTCCGGGTGCTTTGAGGATTTTTAGTGTCGTAAAGGTCTGTTGTAATAGTTTTCACGGGTAGGGTTGGAGTAAGGAATCAGTTTTGTAAAATTTAATGGTTTTCTCTAGTACTTCAAGGATTTTTCATCAAGGTCTGTTGTAATAGTTTTCCCAGGTAGGGTTAGAGTAAGGAATCAGTTTTATAAAATTTAATGGTTTTCTCTAGTGCTTCAAGGATTTTTCTTCAAGGTCTGTTGTAATGGTTCTCTAATGTTTAAGAGAAACTGCATGGGTTGTCCTCCAAACTCTAGCTATTGTAATGGTTCTCTCATGTTTTTCGAGGGTTTTTAGCAGTCAAAATTTAATATTAATGGATGTCGTCATTGCTTCAAGAAGGGTTTAGGGTTTTTCTCCACGAAGTTTTTTGGTTCTTACGAATTCTTTGAGGGTTTTTTACTCTGACATTTCAACGGCTTGCTTTTTACAGCCTGATAAAAATTTTGACTGCCTCATTATTATAGCTACTGACTGATTATATGGTGGCAGCCAAATAATAATAATAATAAATAAAAAAAAATAACAAGCATTTCGGGATCCAAGTTTGCAGACTATTGAGAATCACAAGAATATAGTTTTAATGGTGTTGAAGGCATCCAAACTAATTCCACTTCCAATGGTGAAACGAAATTGTCAGTTCTTCCTTGTTAAACTTGCACAAAAAGAACGAAATAACTTCGCATTTCCTGATTTTACTTTGTAAACAATGCGACTCACAAACCAAACGAGCAGCAAAACAATTCGTTAAAACTCGCTTCGTCCTTCTTAAAATAGCCCAAAGCCCCGTACAGATCTCTCTTGTCAATTACCTTTTCTTTTTCCTCATTAATTTCTTCAATATCACTACCTTTTTCCATTTATATATAGTCAAACACAATATTCAGCTGTGTGACGAGCAGCCATTTTGTTTGAATGCTATGYGCGAAACCGCTGAACTAAAGGAATGGCGAACACGGCGTTTTTTTAYAGCTCCAGGCCCGAAGCTAGAGTTCTATGGTATTCGAGGAATTCCCAATGCCTGGTTTAGGATTTATCTCACAAATAGACGGCAATTTGTATCGGTAGGAAATGTTTCATCTGACTCTCGGCCCATTTCTTGTGGGGTTCCACAAGGGTCAGGGCCCACTTTTATTTTTAATTCATATTAATGACTTTAATTTAGTAACTCATCTGCTAGTTTAGATTTTCATCTATTTGCAGATGATAGTAATCTTTTTTTCTCTCACAGAAATTTACAACATCTTGAAAAACATCTAAATGATCAGTTATGCTTATACTTGGCTATGTGCTAGCAAGTTAACTCTGAATATTGAAAAATCAAATTTTGTCTAAGTTCATTCCCGTCAAAAGAAAATTTATTTCACTGTGAATTTAAAAATAAGTGAAAAATGCAAGGGCAACAGAACAGACGGATTGGGTTTTAAATATGTGTGATTGTTTCAGTTATTCGTAGATTTCTAATTGAATTGATATAT